AATCTGTGACAAAGACAAGACAGAGGAAAGCACCAAGGTTGATATCGGTAATAATAAAATTCCGGTTTACAAAAAATAAATGAACCGGGAATACAATAGATAAGAATTCTTCTAACTAGGTTTTTATCCAAGGACGGACCTACATGAGGTCCAGGGGTGGACCCCTCCAATTTTTTAAAAAATCATTATATATGTAAATAAAAAATACTATAAATTATAAATGAAAATGTAAAAAACATGTAGAATATATAAATAATTAAAACTTATTTTCAATATTATTTTAATTTAAAGAAATAATATTATTTATTTATTGAAAAGTATACTAACAATATTTATATTTTACTTTTCTGAATAAATTTTTGAAAAGATATAATAATTTATTCTTTCGGCCTCTTAATTGTAAATCAATTTAATGATTTATAAAATTCAGAATTTAGTTGGACTGTTAGATTTTTGAATGTTGATCGATTGTATATTTGAATGTTGATTTTTTACTTTTTTTTATGTAATCATATATTTTCAACTTTATTTATTTTTTTATTAATAAAATGGTCATTTGATAAACTTTCATCAACAGAAAAAATGTTATGCAATGTGTTTTAAAAGTTCAATGTAAATCAAATTTTGAACAAAAAAAAGAAACTTATTTTATTTCCATAAATTATAGATCTTAAACTTAAATTATAAATACACGAAATCTCATTTTTTTTCTTAAAAAAAGTACGGATTATAAGTTTTTAAAAACTTGATGGTACACATATCAATATCTATATTTATAAGTAAACATAACTTTATATGAAATGGACGTTTCTACATTAACTACAAACTCGTTATTCAACATTTAAAATTGGGCCCCTCTAAACAAAAATCCTAGCTCCGTCACTGTTTTTATCCATGTATTTGCACGAAAAGCTATGATAGAGAAAAATTTAGATGTTATGGTTTCACTTGTTTAAATCATTAAATTTTGTACTATAAAAATTTAGATCATTTTTTTTATTAAAGTAATTTTTTTTACTTTATACATTAAACAGTTTTGGGCCATTTGTTTACAAAATTTGAACCCACAAAATTATAAATCATAGATATTAGATCTGTAAAACTCCGCCTTCTATAACTAGACTTGTGAAAATTAGAGTAAAATATTTGCTTTTTACTAGTTTTACCCCGTGCATTTGCACGAAAAGAGATATAATAGAAGAGAAATAATTAAAAATATAGAATAAAACAAAAATCATAATTTAATAAATTAGAAAAAAAAAAATAATTTAAAAAAGTGAATATAAATATTATTAAACACTTCTTTTTATTTCGAAAAACGCTTACCTTTTATTTTCAAAAATGCTATAATTGGCTCGCGGGGTGCACTCAAACTCTTTACTACTCTTATCTCTTTCTCATGCAGACATAAATAATACATGCAACCTAATCGAATCCATTTAATAAAGGTACCATGGAGATAAGGGTATTCCACATGCATAAGTCTGATGTTCTCATAGTGGGTCTGAATATGCTGAAGCTAAAACGTAATAAACACACGCATAGTTAAGAAACTACATGTTAATAATACATGACATAAAATGCATGTCAAAATGTCCACTGAGCTAATGAACACGATCACCACGAGTGCTCACACCCCACGCTGGACTCCGTCACCTAAAATGGAAGTTAGTAGGGGCGTGAGCGAAACCACTATGCTCCGCAGAAATCAATACTGAATAAAACAGCATCAATAATAACAATATCATGACTTAAAAATATAAGTAACTGATCTGATCTGAACTGTACAGGTACTAACTCCCGACTCATGTCGGTAAATCATGTGCACACTCCGATGGAGCATTAAGGCCTGCTAGGCCTCCACCAGAACCTTGGACGGATCATTAAAGCCCGCTAAACCTCCATCATGGGCGATAATACTTTTCTCATATATACCTCGGACATGGTAAAGTAATTAAAGACGATGTAGTACTCAGTACGCGACCCTCACCTGATAGACTGCTAGGCAAGTGCTGGATAAATGGTAACTTTCGGAGGCTCGACTCTCCTTAATCTACAAACATATTGAGCAAAATATTCTAAGTACTAAACTCAATCTGAAAAACTTGAATCTTATTATCCGATATTACTAGGTTCGCTCGTTGGATTTTTAAAATCATTTAATCTCGATTTAGAGAATTTACAAGCTAATTTGAGAATTTATGGTCTTAAGGCGTACTAGAGTTCTTCGAAATATTTCTAAGTTTGGAGCTATATTCTGATTTTATCTGGACTGGCTAGGTTCAGAAAAATGCTAAGTCCGGAGCTAATCTGTCTGGTTTAAACTGGGTCTGACTCGGTTCCAAAAATACTAACTATCCGGACTGATTTGGCTAAACTGGAAATTTCAAGAACCGTCCGGACTGCCCGGACTGGTTCAACTGAACTGAACTGACAGCTCGATCAGAATTGACCGGTCGCTCATCTAACTATGTGCAACTCAGCTCAACCGTGGTCCAGATTCGGCACACACGGACACGGCTTCGCCGACGCACGGGCTTTTATGCTCGGATCTAAAAATTTATTTTGTGCTCTAAAAGGCCCAACTTGAGTTCTCTACTACACCAGCAAAAACCTACTCATTTTAAGTCAAAACTTTAACCCTAAGTTCAACATGATTTATAAGGATTTTACATCTAATAACTGCAGCTAAATCTTGACCGGATCAACTTCTAAAAGTACCGCAAAATAAGGCTAATATATAACGCTCTCCAAAAATTATGAAAATTTAACCAGTGCAACTTCAACATATATATGATTTTTGGTAAAAAGATCTCAGCCAAATAAGTCTCTAACTCAATCAACAAAAATCGGGCATTTCAAGTCTACATTCACAAATCCAGTTCTTATAGCAAACGATCTCCAAAATTCACCAAATTTTAACCTAAGCCTCAAGACATCAAGATATGATTTATAAAATTAAAATCATCACTTTTGGATCAGCACTCAATTTAATATGATTTTCTAGCCATTAAAACCAATAAATCTGTATAAATTCATATCTTCCTCAACTTCTTCATACACGGGGGCCAAGATTATATTAATAGACCGAGATCCCCAATTTACCGGACATTTCTGGGAGAGCCTCAATTAGGCCATGGGGACACAACTGCTTTTCAGTGCAGCTTATCACCCGGAGACCGACGGTCAGTTGGAGCGGACCATCCAGACCCTCGAGGACATGCTTCGAGCTTGTGTACTGGACCGTGGTAGCGCATGGGAGGAGTTGTTGCCGTTGATCGAGTTCGTGTACAACAACAGTTACCACTCGTACATCAAGATGGCGCCGTGCGAGGCTTTGTACGGGCGCAAGTGTCGATCACCCCTTTATTGGGATGAGGTTGGCGAACGACAGGTTCTCGGTCCGAAGCTGATCAAAGAGACGGCGGAGAAGGTCGCATTAATCCGAGAACGGATGAAGGTGGCCTAGGATCGACAAAAGTTCCACAAAAACAAGTATAGACGAGAACTCCAGTTCGAGCAGGGAGATAGAGCCTTCTTGAAGATCACGTCGTTGAAGGGCGTGGTTCACTTTGGGAAGAAGGAGAAGTTGTAGACCCGTTTTATAGGCCCATTCGAGATCCTCGAGCGAGTGGGCGAGGTAGCATATCGTTTGCCATTGCCTCCCGAGCTTTCGGGTGTGCACAACTTATTTCACGTGTCAATGTTGAAGGATTACGTGCATGACCCTAGGCATGTTTTGAGCTACAGCGAGCTCGAGGTCGGGGAGAACCTGACTTACGAGGAGCAGTCGATAGTGATTCTGGACCAGAAGGTCCAACGGCTGAGGAGCAGAGATGTATCACTATTTGGAGTTCGTTGGAGCCGCCATAGCGAGGCCGAGGCCACTTGGGAGCGAGAGGATGAGATCCGAGCTCGTTATCCATAGTTTCAATTCTGATTAGTACTATGTATTTTCGATTCCTAGTTTCTAGTCGAGTCGGACTTATGTTTAGTTTTGACATTTCCGAGGACAAAAATATTTTAAGGAGGATAGATTGTAACGCCCCGAATATTATCTACTATTTATGGAGCTCGACTTTATTTCCATAAATAGTCAGTTCCCTTATTGGATGCATTTAGTTGTTATTAGTTGCATTAAATTGAGTAATTAGCAATAAATCTAAGCCATAGAGAATTAATTCGATTTTTAATTATTAAAGTCAAATTTATTTAGTCCAAGTATCGGTTCTATGTTTAAAGTAAAACCAAGCCTTGGAATAATTGGAAATTTCATTAAATAGGGCCGAATCCCAATAATCAAGTGAGTCTATTTTATTCCAGCCCACTTTAATAAATCGAGCCTGTGTTTTGATTTTATTTCGCCCATTTTATTAGATCGAACCCACGTTCGATTTTAATTAAAAATCGAGCCTAAGTCGATTTTTAAATCTCAGCCCAACTATTTTAGTAAATTTGACCGACTAATTTATTTAGTCTAAGTCCGGTTAATGTTATTAGCCAAGCATTTGATTCCTCAACGTTAATTAAATCGAGCCCAAGTCGATTTAATATTTCTAGCCCGATTGTTTTAAAAATCCTTCGGCCCGATTCTTGAGCCCAAGAAGACATTGAAACCCTAATTTTCACTCACTATAAATACACCACATATACCCTAGCTCAACACCATCTTGTTCCACTATTCATCATCAGTTCCTTCCATTTTAAGATCCATAGCAAAATACAACATTTCTTAGCAAGAATCAAGAGTAAAGTTCATTTTCCTGAGGATAAATTAAACATCCTCTATTGACTTTCTCTCTCTGCTATTCCCCTAATCCGATAAACCTAGGTATCCTTTAATCCACCAGTTGCCTCTTCCCGACGGGAAGCTTTGCACCGCCGTGCCGCAGTTCCCGCAGGTCAGGGCCCCCGACCCCTC